ATAAAAGTATTAATTTCTTTAAAAAAGGTTCTTAAATTATATGGCATCTGTACTTTGAATATTTTTCACAGGGGCTACTTGTACCTTTTTTGCCCTTCTCAATATTTTCCTTTCTGTTCCTCTGAACAAAGTAAGTCATACTGATATAAAATGACATGGATGAGATCTCTCTCAGTCCCTGATTTACCTGAATCACTCTGGAAGCTTTTATTCTTCTTCTCCTAACTTCTTCAAAGCATCTCCTAATGCTTGGGATCATTTAAAAGAGCAGTCTTAAATGCCCAAAGTCTGTCCACTTGAATAGTTTGAATATAAAGTAGTCACATTAATCTTTTAACTCCCCACTTCAACAACATTCGTGAACTTTGAAGCTTTGAAGTAACATTTCCTTTACACTGGGGGGAAAAAATTGCTTTTCCTCATCCGCCTGAATCCGCTTTAAATAGCGGCCCGTTCCATGTCCTTTATGCTTCGTGTCTACTTTATTCTGACAAGAGGCCGATTGGTTGGTGGCCTGGTTCTCTCTGGCTGTGAAGTGCTTCTGAGAGCTGCAGATGAGGGATTTCGCTATAGTCACAGCAAATCTGTCTGATATTAGCGTGGGTGAGAGGTGGCATTTCCCCCCACACTTCCTGTCCCTGTGTGCGAGGAGGCTGACATTTCACACGAGTGGAAATGTGCAATCATTACTTGAGTGGATGGCTAATCGGATTGCCCTGTTTGAGATAAGAGTGTCTGCTATTACATCCATGTAGAAGCAGATGGAAAGCATTTCATTGTCTCTGTGAGAGTTGACTCTTTCGGTATTTGAAATGTAAACTCGGAGTGCCAGTCGGATACTAGCCCAGGTGTCGTTTCCTCGGTTTTTATAGTTGATGAGTCAGTTTGAAATGCTGAAGGAAGCTACTTATTTGGATGATTCTTGGAAACCTTTTAGATCTGTCATTGTGGACACAATTTAATCTCAGGACAGTCTCAGTTACAATCAGTCATTATTATTGCTGCGTTTATGAAAGCGACCAAAAATACAGTAAAAACAGTAATATTTGAAATGATTAGAGCATATTAGAATGATTTCTGACATTGAAGACTGGAGTAATGGCTGCTCAATTTAGCTTTGCCATCACGGGTATAAATTACATTTTAAAAGATATTAAAATAAAAAACTGTTATAACAGTTTGTAGTAATATTTCTGTTTTTACTGGATTTTTGATCAAATAAATGCAGGATCGGTAAGCATACGAGTATATTACACACGTATTTATTGATTAGTTATTTTAGTTTCATTTTAATGAGCTTCGCTACGATTTTACAGTATGACTTATATTAAAGGAATGGTTCACACAAAATGAAAATCATGTAATGATTTACTGTCATTATAAGACAAAAACAAAATGTTGGCACTGTAATCATTTCTTAATTGCAAATTAAGTAATTTCTACAAATATGCACCTGGGCATTTCTTTCACTCTCCTATCACTCTTTAATGTGTTCTCAATTCTAATCATCCAACAGTGATTTCAAATTAAATCCACTCTCTGGAGTTCATCTAATCACACCTCGTTACACCAGTTTTTTGGGTTACTGTATCCTTACGTCACACTGCAGTTTACCTCTCACAAAATTACCCCCTTCAGCCATCAAAAATCACCTAAAATAACCAAAACCACCCTGAAATCACTTCCCCATCTTCTCTTCGTTACACTTTCTGGCTGACCCTGTCCTTCCATTTGCCCTCATTTCCCCTCTCCCACTGGCCCAAAACAGGGCAATTGCCCGCCCCGTCTAAAAGCAGCTGTTATTGTCCAGCAGAGCTCCCAGACCCGACGAACAAGAGCACAAACGGTCACAGGCGTTGAGGACACCATGGTAAAGTCCACATGTTGTACATTTGTGTCTTCTTGGTTCTTCTTCTTTATTTATTGATTGATTTATTTATTTAGAGGTGTTAAGTATATTCATTATTATTAATATAATAAAATTTTTATTACTTAATTTATATACATTTTTATTTATATAATTTCTTTTATAAATTCATCATTTGTTTTAATAAATGTGTACATTTTTGTTAGGAGCTTTCTTTAATGCGATATAAGAGATTGTGAGTTATTTTATTTTTTTCCATTAATTTATTTCAATTTCTAGTAAGATGGTTAAGAATAATAATAATTATTATTATTTTAAATTAATGTAATTTATTTTATGATATTAATTTATATTTATAAGTGTATACTTTTTGCGCATATACTGTTTAATTTAGCCTTTTTTTTTTATTGAGAGCACTCTTTATTTGGTGAGACATCGCATTTCATAATTTCTTTTTTTCATTTTATTCCAGTTTTTTAGTGTGTATGTCTATAAATTTAGAGATTGTGAGGGATCGATTTATACCACCACTTGTCCATTTTCACCCAGACATATTTATCGGATGCATTTCTAATGTATCCATAATACTATTAAAGCATGTCACCTTGTGTGGAGTTTGTTTTGGATGCTGTGTTTAGTTGTGCTTAGGTGTATTTGTATCTACATTTGTGTTAGTATTCTGGTTTTAAGTGTACAGTATTCCCACACTCATCATATTGAATGTCATATCAGTTAACAAGGCTTCTCCTACAGATATGACCCTGATATAAAATCTATACATATTCATTCATTGTAACAGAACTGACAGTGATACAGATTTTAATATCAGCAAGTTTCTCCTGCTGCTTTGTTTTGTGAATATGCAAACTCATCTGTTCTTTTCACTCTGTTCAGTCTCCATCGGCCTCCTACGCCCTGACCACACCAGGCCTTCCGCCAGGCTGGGAGGAACGCAAAGACAACAAGGGACGAATGTACTACGTCAACCACAACAACCGTAGCACAACCTGGACGCGGCCCATTCTGCAGGTAGCAAAGCCTAGCTAAAGCTAACGGAGGTCTGTTCATCCTCCGATGTTTTTCCAGCATCATCCACTGTCAAATCGAAATGTCTTCCATGGTTCTTCTCTTCTCTATCAATCCCATCGTCTTTTTGTTGTTCTGCCTTTATCTGTGCTTCCATGATCTTGTGTACTTGTCCCATCACAATGTCTGGATGTTATTTCGTGTTTTGTTGATCTATTTATTGCTACTCTGGTTGCTCTTGATCTATATCTTATCTTTCTGTTCCTTGTGGTAGTAAACTCTCTATTCTTCATCCTTCGTTTTTTTTATCGCCCAGATAAAAGGCTTATTTAACTGATCTCCGATCTTTTAATTTCCTTAAAATATTCAGACTTAATCAGACTTCTATGTTTGTCCCCACAATCAAATGAAACCTTACAATTATTGATCAGTTTAATAGCATTAATTTCCTAATACAGAATTTTAGACCTTGCTCTCCATTCTGGATCCCTTTTAAACCTTGAATGCAGACTCAGTGTTGGACGGCGTGCCCTTGGACAAGACCTTGTGGTGACTAGCTAATTGATCCCTTTCTTTGACCAGCAGCACACTGAAGATGGAGCCAGTACCTCAGCTGCGGCAGTAGGGGGCGCTACAGCAGCCACGCCCCCCGCTTCCACCCCTTCCTCCACCAGCGGCCATCTAAGCGAACCTCAAGTGCGCAGACCCCGTAGCCTCAGTTCCCCCACCGTCACTCTCTCTTCCCCGCTAGAGGTGAGAACATCCTCATTTCCCTCTATTTTGTCCCCTAACTTCCTTCTTTCCATTTACTTTGCCCCTCCACCTGATTCCAGTCCATGTATTAAAGGGATAGTTCACCCAAAAATGGAAAATCTGGCATCATTTACTTCCCCTCCACTTGGTCCAAACCTGTATGAGTTTCTTTCTTCTGTTGAGCACAAAATAAGATATTTTGAAGAATGTTGGTAACCAAACAGCTGACGGTAACCATTGACTTAAATAGTATTTTTTTTCATATATGGAAGTCAATGGCTACCAGCCACTCTTTGATTACCAACATTCTTCAAAATGTCTTTTGTGTTCAACAGAAGAAAGAATCTCATACAGTTTTGGAACAACTTAAGGGCGAGCAAATGATGACCGAGTTCCTTTTAACTGTTTGATTCGTCTCAAAAAATCTTGGCTGTGATTAACCAGTATTTTGTTTAATTTCTTTGTATTTTTATACAGTTTTTCTGACTATTGTTGCCAAATTATTTTTGATTTATATTATTTACACTACTGTTCAAAAGTTTGGGGTCTGTAAGATTTTTTTTTGTTTGTTTTTAAAAGAAGTCTCTTATGTTCACCAAGGCTGCATTTACACTAAAACAGTCATTTTGTAAAGTATTATTACCATTTAAAATAACTGTTCTCCATTTTTTTTGTATTTTAAAATGTAATTTATTCCCATGATGCAAAGCTGAATTTTTAGCATCATTACAGTGTCACATGATCCTTCGGAAATCATCTATTAACATGAATGATTAGAACGATTGTTAGGTATTAAAATGAGTAGAATATATAAAAATTGATTATATAATCCATAAACATTATGAAGGTCTTTACTGTCACTTTTGAACAATTTAAATTATCTTTGCTGATAAGTGTTAACTTCTTTCATTTTTTCTGTCATTATATTAACTTTTAGTTTTTTACATTTTTTTCTTTTTTTGTGTAATTTTATACTTGACACTTGTCCTTGCCATATTTTACTTTGTTTGTCTTCCTCTGCAAATTAGTGACAACAGTGCCAGTCATTGTTTTGTTTTTTTGCCTCATACATATTGTGGTTTTGTTCCTCATATTTTAACTTTGTTGGCTTAATGTGAGGAATATTTATTATATGTATTCCTTCTAGATAAACTTCTGAGGTAAATGTTGCTTGCACAAAGCTCAAGTGTCGACATATGTTGCCTTCATGTTGTGTGTCTTTGATTTGAATCGTGACACATATGTAAGATTCAGATTATCATTCATGCAATTGACAAAGACAGTTATTTCATCACATTTGGTGGTAGTCAGTGTTCATTTTAAACCAGGTTTCACACCTGTTTTATTGCAACAGTGCAGTGTAATATAATGACAATATCCACACACAGTTGGTCAAAATAGGAAATCAGAATCTCATTCTATGCACACTGCCACTGGCTTCTTTAGGTTTGAACAGCTGAGTCGTAGCCCTTGCATTTTGCATGGATCAGTTTGATTATGAAAGTCTGATGTCCCAAAAGCCAAATCAGTTGAGAGACAATTTCCAGACCCATCTGCTCCAGACCTATCAATTCAAGTTAATTTAATTCACTTTGATGCACAGTAAAAGAAAAAAAAAAGAAAATCCTGTTATTTCTGTTTAGTGCTGTTGTTATAGTTTTTGTTTCCTGTTATTTCTGTTTAGTGCTGTTGTTATGGTTTTTGTTTTAAGCGTTTCTGATAGAAAAAAGTTTAGGAAAATGTCCAAACAGTCATACATTCTTAAAAATAATTTTTTTTGCAGTAGCCAAAGGGTTCTTTATTTAGTTTTTTTTTTTTTTAATTAGTGCTAGGCAATGATTAAAATTTTTAATCGCGATTAATCGTGTGATTTTCTGCAATAGGTAGTTTGCAATCAAGTGATTCTGATGACGCGCAGCTGGAGGGCAGGAAGTGATTTTTCTCCATAGAAATCACTAGCAGAAACTCAAAATGCCAGTGTTTTGCGTTGTTTATGGATGCTCAAATCGGACAAACCGAGAAACCACAAGGAGCTTTTATCGTGTACAAAAATGTGTTGCTCATAAGTGGGCAAAGCCAAGAAATTGATTGAAAAACGCTGGAAAAAGTGGCTTGTAAACCTGCGTCTGCGGTCGGGAGGAGCGGAGCCGGATAATGCTCGTGTGTGCAAATGGTTAATATAAGATAATAATAATATATTAATAAAGAAATATATAAATAGATACAGGGTGACACGGTCAGAATTCACTGAATGCTAAACGCCACACATAGACACGATGTAAATAAGATATTGTTTGCAGTTCACGGAATCGTGAGATTGCGATAAATTGAAGTGAGTGACAGCTTTTTAGTGATTAACGTTAGATGAAAGCACTATTTGC